TGTGATAAAACACGTACAGAAGTTCTTGGCGCATTTTCCATTATTTGTTGGACATTTTCTTTTAATTCTTCAGTCCGCTTTTTAGGTCGGCCGCTTCCTTCTTTTCTTGTTACACTGCCCGTTTCACGAAAAACATTAACACAACGCTGAACTGCACTTTGAAAAATTTTGTACTCAACAACGCCGGGAAATTGATTTTGAAATTCTATGAAACATTCCTCAATAGAATACTTCCATATTCCATCAATCTTGCGTCCATTTCTAAAGTAGGACTCTATGATAAACACTTTTTGTTCTTGAGAAAACACCATTTTAAACGCTTTTTAAAACGAAAATATTCAAATTGATAGCGGCGATATAGCGCTTTGACAGATGACGTTTAAGTTCATTTGCTATACGCTACGCCCTACGTCCAAATTTTCAGAACCAACTTGACCACGTTTTTATTTGAACGCTCGTTAGATGCACAGGAACAGCAAATTATACTTCACCCAAAATTACAACCAAATCTGCAAGAATCATACGAAAATATATTAGCTCCTCGGATTCTACTATGAATATTTTTACTTAAAACGAATTTATTCTTATTTAAGTAAACGTATATGACAAATTACACCAAAAATGTTATTGTCTAAGTTCCAAGATCAACTTAGAAATAGTTATTTATAAAGGAGGTAAGTACTATTTACCAGTCGAGGACGATTTTGCACCAGAGCAGAGCGAGAGCTGGCAATAAAGTCCGAGACTGGTAAATTATACTTAACTGCTGCGTGGTGTATAACATTTTATCTGCTCCCACAGTTCTTTATGGTTCGTGAAATAAATATTTGTAAGAATTATTTGGAAATTTTTCTTAGACAAGTTATTTCCTATAACTTTGCATTTGGAAGTTCTAGTCTTTCACTTCAAATAAAAAAGTTGGCCTATGTCAGGTTTTAAAAAAATAGCACTGTATGTAAATCATTATTGTAAAACAAGCAAGACGACAAAGTGAATTTAAAAAGTAGAAAAGACAGCCTCTTTACAGGACTTTCCTTTATAATTTGCAGGGTCCATCGCCGTCTCACAGATTCTCCCTCTTCCGAACGTACTGGCTAGTCTGGGCTGTCCTCTTCCAAGCTGCTGTACACGTAGACTCGCCCAGAGGTTTCACAGCCAGGTTTATGACCAACGTATGGGCGATGTTTGCTGTTGTCTTCCTTGCCATTTACACTGCCAATCTTGCCGCCTTCATGATCACGAGAGAAGAATTTTTCGAGTTCGCAGGTAACAAATCTCAAATTATGCTTAGAATAAGTACATAGAAGTTGATAAATATAAACCTCATGTCTTGATTCCAGTTACAGTACTTACTTAAGGTAAAATTGCATAAAGGGAAATCGTATATTTTCTGAGTTAACAATTTTCTAAAAAAAAAAATCGTGTAGGGAGCGTCTAGAATATTCTACCACCAAAACTGAAACCTCTGATTCCAGAGACGATTTCCTAAAAACTTAACTAAATAATCTAAAAGAATACTTAATATTATGATAATAAGAGAAGAGTGTTAGAAGACTATAATAATAAAAATAACAGAATAATCTTAGCAGAATTTCTTTGGTACGCCAATGGTTTTCTTTATGCTGATGGAAAAATGCAAGGCGCTGCGGGTCGTGCAATTCCGGGAATGTCTAGATGGAAATTGGTGAAGTGTACAGTCTAGGTGCAGGCGATATGTAATATTACAGCAAAACTAAAATTTAAAGAACAGCAACGCGCGGATATTAGAAGCTGGCAAGGGTCAAAATTTGTACAAAGGCTAAAACGATATTATTTCTCCCATTATCGCCTTCTACAAAGAAAAGAATTATGAAACCTTACCTCTATAAAAAGCAACTGTTCGTGATAATTATATGAAATTACGCAAGTCGGCTTAATATAGCCAAAACTGCAGAAGAAGAATAAAATGTTAAGCTAAACAATTAAATATCCAGGTTAATTGTCTTACAAAATGGGAAAAATTAAAATTGAACAAGAAAATTTTGTAATGAGAAACTACTTCAAGATATGTCACAAGATTATTAAGGATCACAATCAAACTGGACAATTTATCTCTACACAAATTAGCGAGAAAATCCCAACAAAGTGAACACTTTCAAAAGTCGCTTTGCTCGCTAACCTTCGTCAAACCGATTTCACAAGGCTCTTAAAGGTGTCCGATACATGTTATTTTCGTTTCTTTTCTTTCTACTCAAAACGACTAATTAACAAGAAGTGTTTTAATATATTTGCTACCGATATATAGAAAAAAAATTATACTTTAGATGATTTCTTTTCGTTCGTGATTTTACTCCACTCGTCACTATGAGGCTCTTGATTTAAAAAAAAAAACATAAACTCAATCGCTATTTCAAAATATACTCGATATGGCCATAATAATAAGCAAAGCGAAAAAATAATTTAAACTATCCTTATCCACAATCACCTTATAATCGGACTTTTATCCACACATATGAATCGTCTAGTGATACTTTATCCACTAGTTGAAAAAAGTAACTTTTTAACTTTTTTTTTAAGTAAATCAAATTTAATTTATTTACTTAATAGCATTTACATCTTTAGTAATAGACATTTCGTTTTTTTGGTTTATCACATTTAACTTCCGTTAATAACAACCCTTGTAGCATTGTTGTCATCATTTTCGGAATGCATAACATCTGCCGAAGTTTGTGAAGAATTTTCACAAGTACGGATGTCTCTTCTTGTAAGGAACAGCTATATTTTCCTTGGATTTTCCTTGCAATATCAAGAATTTGCAATATTCTGGAATGAAACAACTATTGAGGGTACCTTCGCCAATGTGTTGATTCCAACAGCCTGAGAAGTACATTTTTTATTGATGTATCTTAAAAAATCCTCCTTCTATAATTGTAAATCTTGAAATGCCCGCCTTGGTGTCAGGTATTGAAACAAATAGGTAATTGCCATCGTCCTGTACGTCACTAATTTTCAAATTTATCAATTTCGTAGCATCGACAGGCACCAGACACCCCCATTATTAGTGCAAACTAAAATAATTCAAAGTTCACTATATACCTAACATGTAAAAGGTAAAGAGATATTACCTTAATCATTAAATATTCTTTATCGGAAGTCCCAGTCAAAAATTCTTTAATATGTGGTCTTTCCAATACTGCAGCTTATTTTGCTTTGTATAATCTCGATTCCAATATCTATATTTTTGTAGACCTTTATCGAATACTTCGACCACATAGATTAAATTGCATATTTTTTCTCCAAATTTAAAAAATACGATAGCATGACTTCTTCATTTGTTGTCATTACTCTCCGTTTTTCCTCCATTCGTTAAATTCGGTAAACACTTTTTCGTAATGTTCTCTGGATTTCGATGGCAATAAATGGAAAATAGCTTCTTGAGCTCTTTCAAAAACAGCCACAGGAACACAATTACCTTCTTGCATTTTTACCAAATTCAGATTAAATAATTTATAAAAAAACAACGTACCATAGCAACCAGTAGATATGTATAACAAAACCTAACACGTATCATCGAGTACCAGTAAGGAATATCAAGTCGTGCAAATATTTTTTTATTAAATTCCAATAATTCTGACTCCACAAATATGATTGTGATGTGATTATGGATAAAACATTGTATTGCATTCGTGTTTTAATTTCCTTTTATACACTTCAGCGTGGATAAAATGCTACTTAAAACAGTTACAAGTTACAGTATACAATAAATAACTATTACTCTGACATGTTTTGCAAATTTGTTACCTACTTTTTGGTTTCGTATAGAGGAAATTTCACAAATTACTTGCAAACTACTGTTATTTGTCTTTGTATGATAGCAGTTCACCGAAAGTTACATAGTAGGAAGTAAAAGACATTCAACTTGAATACTTTCAGTACCTAACTTTGGCAACTAAACATTGAAATTCGTGGCAACTCAACTGAACACAACCGATAGTCAGTTCATTTAAATATATCGAATCTCACTGATTTCCTCTGGACTTGTTAATCAACATTTTGGCGAATTTACACAAATAATTGTTATATATTTAATGAATCAGACATAATCAAAATATTCACGGTGCATTGTAAATTATTTACGTTTAATTTATCATTTAATTACCGTCGTTAGCAGTGATGAATTGGGCATAACATATCCATTTGTATAACAGTTATCAAGTAATTAAAGCTGTATAAAAACCCTGTTTTATATATAAAAAAATATGTATTGAATTTATCATTGTTCTAAATTTAATACACTAATCACGGTCAATTGGAAATAACAATAGTTTCTAGACAAAATAATCTCTTTTTTATCAATTAGAAGTACAAATAATGAAAATAATAAAAAACATAAGGAACCCAATAAACCAGTCAATAAATCAAACAGAATTTCCAGTTAATAACAGTAAAAATAACACCAAAAATCAAAGTAAATCTATCAAATTATCTAAGTTGTCCAGAAATGATACTACAGTGAACTATTGCCCTCAATAAACAATGTCTAATGAAAATAGATTCGAACATACTTCTTAAAGGAGTAACAGCCGATGAATTAAAAATGCCAATCAGAATAAATTTAAAAAATTACAAAACTTACCACCAAGCAAACATGTGAAACACTGAAAATGAATGTACCTATTTATCATGGATAAAATAACACCTTTCCTCAGTTTCACTTATAATACTTAAATACCGACAGAGTAGCCAAAATATAAAAGTTCACCATGGTCCTCCTCATTCCTCCTAACTCCTAACAGTAGAATGCCAGGACCATGTTTATTCGACGGAGAAAGGTCCAACCTACAAGACACCAAAATCACTCCGACAGGATCACTCCTGCGCCCAGCGATCTCCCTTAGAAATTTGCTAAACTTTGAAATCTTCAGCTCCCACATACACTGTACGATTCTACATACCTTCCTTGTATCTAATGTTTCGCTATCGATTCCTTAAACTTTCCAAACTTAAAATTCGCATTAACGCAAAACTTTACTAATCTAAATTTGTTAAACATAATTATTTTTAAAATGAAAGCAGATGTTTTAACTCTAAATTATCGTTTCATTGAATGTGGGAATGTTGTGGGCACATTTTTAATGTTATAGATTGGGTATATTATAAAACTACTTCTAATATTTATCAGTTTTATCATGAATCCTCATCGTATGCACCGCTGACTCCATTTTTAGGACGTAGTGTTTTGTTCTACATCGACAGATTGTCTTCTCTTACCTCTTCTTAGGCACAATAAGACTCTATTAACCAAATACATTCTGGTAATTATTAAGTTCTTTGAATCCACGGTAATTGATGAATACCTAATTGACCGATTTACTATTTGATTTAGAATTTTCTCTACCAATTCTTTCCAATATTTCCAGAAGCGCTTTAGGTCGCAATCTGTGTTAAAGGGGATCTGGGGAAATTGTCTTCAATTTCTTTCGATGTTTCAGTATCTTCTTCAATGTTTTCCGTCGACTCGTAAACTATTTTTTAGTTGTAAACATCAATATCAATATCTGAAAATTGTTTTGCAACTGATGATTAAGTTTCCATTATTTCCATCAATGTCGCAATGATCTAAACCTATCGTATGGGTTTTGCTTGTCGAAGTAGACGACTTCGCACTATTTCTTCTTTCTTGATTTGTATCAAAAGGCAATATCCTACAGTGTGAATCTATTTCGGAAAGAACAGTTCTTCCTGTAAAACTTTTGTTGGACTGATTTTTTTCATTATTTGATGCTTTGATAAGAATCTACATTATTTTGTCGTCGTCTTTAGAAAAGTACAGCCCAGATCACTAAATTTGACTCAATTTTGATTAAAAAGAAAAGGAAATTATTTGGTGATAAGATTTACTTGATTGTTTGTTTTTTAACCAAAACTTTGGTTACATTTTTACAGCGAATTATGGCATATTTTGTATAAATTGTTTTCCTTATTTATTTTACACAATTACCAAAAAATACGTGTCCTGTTTACATCCATTTTAGTTTTATAAATTGTTTTATACTAATGACGTTAACATTGTCTTTTTTTGTAGAAATAAAAAGTACATCCAGTTTTGCTGCATTTAAAAAATGAACATGAAAATGCATAGAATTTTCTTACTGCCAACAGAATTAAGTAATTAAATAAAACAGTATAGAATCGAGAGATGGAATAACAAAGTAAAATTGTCACTTAAATACCTACTATATTTTACTTAAAACACTGTTTTGTCTTTACGCCATATTCACTAAATT